GTTTTTAGCCAAAGATTCCGAATATGCAATAAAAATAGGGGTTCCCATTTAAGATTTCAAACTTGCCCCCCCTCACCGCCCAGGGGGAGGGGTGGGGGGGCTAATTTTAACGTCACTGTACGTCCCCCTCGAAATGACGAAATCTTGATTCTAAACATTTTTTCGTAGTGTGCTTATTTTTCGAGTTATTTGGCTGCCTAAGTTAAAATGGGTCACCCTGTATATACACGTGCTATATAAATATTCACCACACATTTTCATATGCTATACGCTATAATAGATCCATTAAGTACTGAATAAAATTCTAATTTCATACATCTATTGCTTTTTTGTTATATCACAATAATGTGTAATATGAGAAACTCATGTCCATGTATAAATAGTACATGTATATGCGCGAGGGTGGGTTTCGCCTACCCTAAACTAGCATAATATTTCTTTGTACCAGGTTTTAGATGTAGGTTGGATTATTGTATATAAAGATGTATAGGTTAGTTTACTTTAGGAAGGGAGTGCACATCGACATATAGTACTGGACGGAACATTGTGCCGACATATTGACAGACGTAGAAAGAGACAAGACGATGTGTGGATAGGAGCGGCTTATGGAGCAACGGAGCCACGAGATACTTACAATTCTATTATTTGAATTAATTTTTTTTATAATAGTAAGAATATAGTATATAAGAAAAAAGGGGAAGGTGAAATATGAAAATATTTATAAAGTATATAAATTTGTAATATATATATATATATATATATATATATATATATATATATATATATTACACATACAACATGTAATCATATGTAGTAACGTATATTCCCAACTTTTAAAGATATGATACTATCCCCTTTCTCCTTAGACAAAATTCAACCAATAAACAGAGAGATCCGTGTTCACCATAATGAACATAAGAATACATGGACGGAACATATTGTCGCGGGAGTGAAGCCCAATAGATAAGGGGAATAATTGTATGTATTGTAATGGAGTTAATGTACCAAGATGGCAACGGTCGCTATTTTGATACAGTGAAAATAGATACAAAACTCCTGTACCAACATGGCCGCGACGATATAACCCTCTTGCCCCTTAGGCTTCATAGTCCCTCATCTATAATCGCACTTTGCGCTCCGTCCATGTATTCTTACGTCCATGGTGCCCATACATCTAGCTTTTTTTCTTTCTTTCTAGGCTTTCTAGTTTTTTTTTCTTTCTAGATCTCTCAACACGAAAGATCAAAGAAGTCTTGCCGAATGCTCCATCCAGTACTATATCGATATATGTCGATGGAAATGCAAGGAGAGGAACGGAACACCCGTGCATATACTTATGTTATTTCTACATACATTTGGCCGATTATATTCTTTAATTTATATATATATGCAAAACTATATACATGACAGCACAATATAGGACAGTATGTTCTATTTATTAAACTTCTTTTGTTAATAAATTTTTTAATAAACAATGAGTGTCGGCTGACATTTTTTCGACATTATTTAGAGCGATGATTTTAATAACATATATCAAGTTTGACATTTGGAGGATAGTCCGTTTTATCAATATTTACCAAAATTTTATATTTTTAAGAAACTCTATCCAACAAACACAATAATATAATTGTTATATTGCCGTAATATAACGAAATATAATATACAATATAACATGTACGTTACATACAACGTACACTTTAGTTGTAATTTCCTGCTCAAGCGACATTACAGTTATATGACAGAAATATGACACATAAGTAATATATTACCAAAACAAAAAAAAAGTTATATAAGATACAAAGTTATATCTGATACAAGACATACAAAACCACGTATGAAAGTAGAACATATCAACCTGAGTACAAGGACCCCAAGTAAGTTAAAAATCGAGTCGAAATGAATATAACACGTGCCAAGATATTTGTCCTGTTATTCCCATTTCGAAAAAAATTATAACTTAAATCAGATTGCAGTGTTCACCATCGAAATTCCAACTTTTATCCTAAAGCACACTTTAAACATTTCTCATAACTAAATAATGTTGACGTGTTATCACGAGATGTATAATAAAAATTGACGCAATGTAAATGAAATTAGTTTAACTTTAGTTAAGGCTAGGCTAGGTTAGATTAGGTTGGGTTGGTTTTTTGTTTGGTTTGGTTGGGTTGGAATTTTCCCGGAGTAGACATCCAAGAAAAGAAGCAAAGTCCTTCCCTCATTCATATATATATACATTATACATATATATATATCATACAGATTTATTGATTTTTTTATAAGAAATTTCGAGATTTATTTCGAGATATATCTAATTGTATTATAGGACGACGTATAATTTTCACAGTATTAAATTATTATTGCTCTTAATAATAAGTCAAAATAAAAATCCTGGCAGATTTCTAGCCATAACGCGGATAATATTGAAATTTATTATACTTTTAATTTGGTGCGCTTAGTTGCACTGATCTAATGTGTACAAGTTGTAAGGATACAAGCAATGGAAAGTGGAGAGAAAAACGATGCTCCTCAGCTGAATAAAACCCGTATTAATGCAACTTCGGATAAAGTAGAAACCTACGATCAACTTCAAGCTGCTTTCTATTATACCGACCTATACAGCTGCGCTACTAGCGTCATTTGCCCACTTTCGCACACAATGTATACATATACATATACACACACACACATATATATGTATACATTTGTGTGTGTGTGTGTGTGTGTGTATGTGTGTACAAAAGTATCATCATTCTTTTCACATTCAGAAACATGCTAGATAGGAAACCTAATAAGTAACACTGCTTCAGTATGAATCATTATTAATTGGCTGTTTTATAAATTATTTTTGCAATTGACGTAACTTGAGATAACTTGAGATAATTGAAAACTAATTTTTTTTAATATAAAGTAGATTATATACACTTAATTCATAAAATGTTTAAGTATATATTTTGATTATTGAGATAATTAAATTATTAATGTGAAACATATAATATATTCACTCAAACTCTACGCGTTCTCATATAAGACTCACCAGTAAATTTATTAAGACGCTACTAATTAAGACGCTAAGTATAAAATATGGACACTACACTTTTTTGTAACATATGCTAAGGAATATAACTGTAAAAATATTGTGTATATATGCTAAAGTACTTACTTCACCTGTATGGGTCATGATATGAACAGCGTTTACAGCTCTTTCATATAGCTTAACTCGTGCCATGTTCTTATGCACAGCGTACTCTTATTGATCCTATAACATATTAAATAAAAGCACATTTTTTTAATTTGTCAAGCACACACATGTTAACATATGTATAGACATAAATAAATTTTATAGAAATGCTAGACTTTAATAATAACTTTAATGATTTATTCTTATGACAATTGCATAGAAATATTGTACACGAACTATACAGGTGACAGAAGATCTGTGCAGGAGATACACAAATTAAAGATATATGATACACATAGACCAGATGTACATAAAAAGCATTTCTAATGTGCAAGTATATGTTGTAAATAGAAATTAATAATGTATTAAATTTCAATAATAGAAACAAAGTTTATTGCAGTACTCTTGGTTTCCATACATTTTTAGAGTCATATTTAGAGCAAGAAGAAACGGGTTTCAATCACAAAATATACATAAAAAATTGTTTAATATATCGACGTGTTAACCTCATATCAAAGTAACAGAAATCGACATCATACCTGCATGTGAGTATATAAAGATGAATCATTGAAAACACTGTGGGTGAGAATTACTCTCTTTACTTTGAAATCACTAACTGCACTATAGTCACGTTTTCCAATGTTGCTTTGTCAAAGCAAGCACAGGTTAACTGAGTCACCAAGTATTCGCAGATAACTTGGAAAAGCAAGTTGCGCCTAACATCGAGCACAGTCGCCAAGTGAAAGCAGTTGCACAAGATGGCGGCGATGTTAGTAACATGCGCACTACGCGGCCCGTTACTTATGCCCAAGCTGCGATCGGAATGTGCCGTGCGACTATGTGGGGGTATAGCCTTGCGTTCTGCGTCACATGGCCGCACACGTTTGCTTGCACGGACAAAGACTTGATAGGCAAGTCAGCATATTTTAAAAAGTTGTTTTATATCTGTATTATTTTAATATTCATACTTAAAAATAATTGTAAGTCTCCTAACCAGATTATAGTAATATATTTTTTAAGTATATGTGAGATTAAATGATAACGTCGGGACGTTAAGTAAAACACGTTATTATATAAGCAGTATTATTAGTAAGCAGTATTATTAATAATAACAGTATTATATAACAGTGAGAGCCAGCTTACAGTTTCTCTACCACGAAGTCACAGCAGACAGTAACCAACTGCGTATATTCTTCTTACAGAATTCTATATATAGCTTCGCTCAATGTGGCAACGTCGCGATTACATCATATTGTTTAAGAAATCCCCACTTAGGCCATGATTCTTCACCACACGGTACGCTTCTAATCTTGTGTACAAGGACACATGTGAAAAGCTAGATTATAAAGCGTTAACAGGTTGTCGTAGGTTAACTAAAGTTAACCTACTGTTAACTAAAGTTAATAGAGTGCGTTAGTCTTTCCAAAGCATTTTACTTGCATAACGAGGTCAACGAACTCTATGTATAAAAGGATAGCTTCGAAGTACTTGCGATGTTAAACAGATCGTAGTTTAGGGTTCAAATCTTAAGTTAATACATCTATATATACATACCCTTAATCCTTATTTTTTATTGTTATCGCTTATTGATCTGTATTTATATTGGAATTATGATATCAGACTTTGACTTCAAGAATTGTGTAAGCAAAACAATGAAACAAAGAAATGTCCTCGTTTATTTATAGCGAATGGTTCAATATTACTATCCGTTCTGAAAACATTTACCTCCAAATATTTTTCCATTCAAAGAAGATAAATTGTATCGATGATGCCACTGTCACCATTTTATATTATGTCATACTTTTTTTTACGATTTGATGCATACTCACACATGTAATTAGGAACAGGGAAGAAGAGGGGAGAAAGGTTATCTGATACTCTGTGATAAGTTTTAGAACGCATCTGCTTTGTTCAATACAAGAACTTGGTTCTCCAATTTAATCAAACCCCTAACCCAATCTAATCTAATCAATAATTCCTAAGATTAACCTAACCCAGTCTATAATTCCACAGATTTCTTTCCTCAGATTTATAGAATATCTAAATTATTGTTATGTGCATGTTTAGACACATATTACACAACGAAATATGTTTCGGAAAAGTAGAAAACGATGTGCGCATTTATACGTATATAATACACGATAAAGAGTACATTCTCTTCCCGATACATTTTAGAACACATCTGGCATCCTGTAAGCAGAGCTCGGATCTCAGCGACGCTTGCCACCAGCCTCCCCACTCCACCCACCTGATAGCTGCCGTGCGGCGCGAGAGGCAGTGCCGTATACGTCGATCTAGCGGTCTAGTAGACAGCGTAGCAAATGAGTCACTGTCTTATAACGCCGCTGTAAAGCTATGTTTTGTTTTGGAATAATAAGCTACAGAATATTTATTTACACTTATCTAAATATTTTATACATTATTTTTTTGAATGTTATTTCTTTTAATCAAATTACTTCGACATGTACCCAGTAAACACTAGATATTCCTGGAATATAAAATGTTTCTCAAATTCAAAATTAACACCCCGAGAATATTCCTAACCACCTAGTTTTTAGTTATTAATGAAAGAAGATTGTTGTGCGCGAAAATGCACAAATCTTTAATTAATATCTAAAAATCTATGTGGTCACTTGCAAAATGGTAAAGGACATTTTTGTTCTGTTTGATCTAATATGTAAGTATACAACGACAGATGGCGCCACTACAGCTCATCTACCACATCGTGTGCGATTATTCACTAATCTTCTTTAATTAATATCTCGAGATTTATTGCGAATATTGCAAAACGATATAGGACTTTTATATTCGTCTCAATCCATTCTATGTTTCTATAAAAATTACGAAAGAGAATCTATGACACCCTGTGAAACTATATGAAACTTTTGGAATACGAACGGAATATTTTAAGAATATCTAACGTTTACTGAGTAAGTACACTACAGACGACGTATAGGTGTAATTAAAAACTGTAAAAATTATCTTTTTAAAAAAAGGTAAAAAAAAGAAGCCAAATGCACGCGCTTTCCCAGGTAGCAACGTGACGTGATTTTCACGTCAGTTTTTGGTTATTCATGATGTAAATTATCCTTTTATAATCACGTAATAATGACGTGAAAATGACCGGAATAAATCACAGTTCACTGACGTCAATAATAAAACGTGAAAATGACGTGTCGGAATATCCTTATTCAATTTTATTTTCTAACAGAAACTACTTGTAAATATCACAGCATGTGCTGATTTTACTTGAAAATTTTAATTACTTGATTCCAATGTTATATCACATTAAAAAATTCTCAGTAGCACTGGGACTCGAACCTGGACCATGAGGCATCTCCTGGATTATGAGTTTGTTGCTTAGACACTATACCACTTCTTTAATCAATATTATCAAACGTTTTACATTTTGTTTATATGTGTTATACTTAACACAGTGTAATATAATTTTTTGATAATATGATTTAATAAAATGATTTAATTTTAATAAAAATCATATTTTTCGTACCTTTATTGTTAATTTAACTCCTAGCTCTCTCTAATGAGATGAGGTCTACAAAATCCCGCATATTCCATTTCGTTATCTTTAAATTTTCATAGTAAACATTTTTTTTTATTGTTAACTGTTATTAAATAGATAAAGTCATAAAAGACTATAAACTTTCCTAGTAAGCAAAAAACATTAAATCAACTTTCTAAAACTTTGATATTATGTATATTATTGTAATACTTCTTTATAATATTCTATAAACGTTTTTAAAACGTTGCTTAATAATATTACATTTCAAACATTAAAGAAATGTTGTACAAACATTCCAAAACATATTTTTTGAATGTTGTTGATAAATAAGTAAGAAACATTAAATTAACATGTTTAAAACGTTGATCCCAGGTAGCACACGTTCATATACGTATTTTATACGTATGTTTCATAATGGGAAACTAGAAACGCTAAACATAAACGTTTATGAAATCATAATTTAAGAAGTGTGTTTAACATTTCTACAGTCAAAAGAGTTTTATTTTTTCGATAAACTTTATCGAAATATTTGTAACCAAGGTAAACATATCTTACATAAATATTTTATGCATATATCTCCAACTTCTCTTTTATTATATAAAATATTATAACTATAAATAGTTTATTTTTGTGGTTCTCCTAAATAATATTATAAGAAAATTATAATTAGTGCTTTGGCTGCATATGAGGATAATAAAAAACAGTATCAATTGAGGAAATAGCGCAGCAACCAAGATAGTAGACTAGGAACCTAAAGATGTTTGAGGTCTCTCGAGTTCGCGTCCGACCAGTACTGAGTAAATTTTTAGATGCGAAAATAGTGAGAAATCAAATATAAGAGCTAAATTTCAGTTAAAATCAACATAAATTCATTAGTTACAATTGTTTCCGCAAGATATGTTTTTTTTTACATTACAATTTACGTCCTTATTACGGCTGCCTGAGCCGTAAAAAACCGTTTCTGAAACGTGTTTGTGCTACCTGGGATGTAAATTGACGTTACGGAAACGTTTATTTAACATTATTCGAGGAACGTTATCACAAAATGTTCTAAAAACATTAGTGTAACATTAATTACAACGATATGATATATGTGAATTCAATATTGTCGAAACCTTAAAATCGGTATCAAAGTTTGTTCATTATGATGCTGTGTACAACGTTAAATACAACATACTTGCAAACGTTACATGTTACTGAATATCATGATAATAACATTGTAGTAATGATATTTTGCTTACTGGGTTGAATAATAGTAAAAGAGTATAATTTAAAAAAGAAAAAATCCATCTTACCATTTAAGATTTAATTAAAATAATTAAATTTATGTATATAAATAAAAATATACAAATTAAGACAGATAGCCAACTATCTGTAAGAATTCTCTATGATCTTCTATTCATCTCTGTTATCTTTGTCATTGTTATTTTCTCATTAACATATCTTTGAACATCATCCTACTAACTGAATAATTGCAACGATGTAATGCTCGTGAGTAAGAAATGGACTAGTTCTATAAGGTTTATTCCTAGGAGTTAAATGTTTGAGATGCAAGCACATAAAAAATTACAATACATATAAATAACGTGTATAAATAATAATCTGTTGGTTACATAAACCACAGTTGATATAAGTGAACATTAGATAAACATCTGTCACATTCTTTGCTTATTGAATAGCTGACTAAAAATAACATCTCAAAAACATATTATGGATGTCTTTAAATGATGTTATTATCACGCCAAAATAATCACGTCTTTTGAATGTCAGTTATTGGTTATATGACGTCTAGGACTGGTAATCACCATTTATCGACGTGAAAATGACGTGACGTTGCTGCCTTGGATGCTTCGCTTGCAAAAAATATTATAAAAAAAGTTATTGGTAAAATTCTTACAAAAAGAAATGATATCAAACAATTTACGCTAAGTGAAATTAATTTCATACATAATAAATATTGTTATAACTATTTTGTATATATAAACACTACATTAGGATTCTACTGACTTTATTTTCTGATAATTACACAGAATTAGGAAAAAAATAGTTTTTAGAAGTTTATTTAATAAACATACAAAAGTGAAAATTTTGGGAAAAGTTAAATAAAATTTCACACGCACACAAAAAACACTTGGTGTGCCAGGGTAAAATTGTACACGCACACATAAAACACTTGGCATGTCAGAAATCACATTAATACTTTACGAAAATCTTTGAAGCAATGTTGTATGAGTAGCATCAAAATAATGAGTACCCCAAGTGTTTTATGTGTGCGTGTAAAATATTATTATTATTAAATTAATTATTATTATCCTAGCATG